TAAACAAAGGATACACCAAATCTCATATGCTGACACTAATCCATTTTTCAATATTTTCAGAAATACCTAACAAACAATCCTACCACTAAATCGGAATTTGTGGAACTAGCATAATACGTTGATGACTAACCTTGTCAACTTATTTTTTAAATAACCTTCATCGTGTATGTCATGTTAGTAAAGGGTTCCCCTCTCCCATGCGTGAAGTTCCAGAATGAAAGTGGGTTGTTGCCATGGCAACAGAATACAAGGCAGAGAACTTCAGAGAAGGGGGAGGTCTCTATACCCAAGGCCACAGCTACAAGAAAACCCTGGGCCCCAGAGTGGTGGCAGCAAAGAGAAGCAACTTGCTATGACTTCACACAGCCCGATGGCCCGCGGTTGACACAGAGTTCCCCCAACTGCTAATTATTTGCATAACTCTGGATCTTTCATTCAGGAAAATAAAGACTTTACAAGTATGCATTGATATACTTATCAAACAGTTTTTCTCTTTGAACAGCCTAGTATTAGAAACTTTCTCCAAACACCTAGCATAGTGCCTTACACATAGGAGCTACTTAAGAAGTGTGTGCTTAGCTATGTACTGGATCCCTTCTTGAAGCAGGTATTGCTTAGGACACAGATATGAAAAAGACAAGTTCCTTCTCCTCAGAGAGCTCACTGTTCAGGGCGTAGACAAGCATATATCAAGATCCATATAACATTACATGTCAGCTTAATGCTATAGCCTTGCCCAGATTCTCAGAGGGGGAGAATCCAGAAGACAGGCACACCCCAGAGGAGAAAGAGGGGAAGGGGGGAAAGGGGGACAGGGTGTGTGCCACACGATCTGACTTCTGAAGGGTGAATAAGGAGTTATGGGCGCTCCTTGTCTGTCTGTCTGTTTTTGTCTGCTTGCTTTGAGATAGTCCTGGCAGAGAGGGCAGCAAGGGTAAAAGTTCAAAGGTAAATAGCAGCACTGTCCATGGCGGGAAAGGACATGCAGTTTGCTTTTGCTGAACAAGAATCTGTAAGGCAGGGAATGATGGGAGCTGAAGCTGGAGAATCAGGCGGCTACGGTGTGAACACAGCATGGAAGTCCCTCCCCGGGAGGACCTGGACTGTATCTACTGGGCAGTGGAGGCTCCAAGAAGCCAAAGCCTTCTTTCCGGAATTACTCTCAGCAGCAGTATAGAGAATTGCTTAACAGATAACAACTAGAGTCAAGAGGACCACTTCCAAGGCTGCTCCAGACATCCAGGCAAGAAACAATAAGATCCTGAATCAAAATGGGGTGTTAGGGATGGAAAGGGTGAGGACAGATTCTACAAACATTTAGTAACCAAAATCACATAGCTCCTCAGCATGATTCGCCTCCCCAAATCCCTGAGACTCAAATCTTCATTCTCCTCTCTATACCAATTTTAACACTAAGAAAAACCTGGGCAAGGAAGGATAAGATTGTCAGCAACTGAAGCTCCTTCAATAGTACATACCATCACTGAACCACTTAAAATGATCGTAGTCGCTTTAAAACGTACTGGTTGGGGCTTCCCTGGTGGCGCAGTGGTTGAGAGTCCGCCTGCCGATGTAGGGAACGCGGGTTCGTGCCCCGGTCTGGGAAGATCCCACATGCCGCGGAGCGGCTGGGCCCGTGAGCCATGGCCGCTGAGCCTGCGTGTCCGGAGCCTGTGCTCCGCGACGGGAGAGGCCACAACAGTGAGAGGCCCGCGTACCGCAAAAAAAAACAACAACAAAAAAAAAACCCTATTGGCTGAGTTGATAAACAGGCAAAATTATTTCTTTCTTGGATTTATTCCAGTACACTGTTTCCCATCATTATTGGTCATGGGGTTCAGAAAAAGAAGGGAGATTTTTAGAAAGATTCTGAACAATATATCATTGCCAACTCAGAGTGGCAGGCAAAACAAAACTGATAATGCTTCGTACTGAGATAGGATCGTTCCTCTGAGGCTCTCCTGGTTTCACAGTGAATATTAATTTTTAGAGCATTCCTATAAAGTAGACAAGTGGCAAAAGGGGTTGGCTTCATTTCAGTGGGGGGAGAAAAAAAAGACACTAGTGCCTGGAGAGATGAACTGACTTATCAGAGGTAAGGCTGGTTGGAGACAAGCCTGAGGGCAGACTTTGGGCTTCTTGGTTTCTTCCCCTGCTTTAATCATCTAGACCCATCCTTAATTAGGTTATAGAATTTAACACAGATCTGTCCAGATCTCATCTGAAAAGAGGAAGCGAAGACCTGGGTAATTTTCCAGATAATTTCTTTAAAAGAAAAAAGCAAACCCTCTTTCCCCCAAATTATTTATAATTGATGCAATACAGGAAGTCTCGCTGCTTTTTAATGAGTTCCCAAACGCAAATTCTGCCATTTAATTTTTTGGAAAACTGCATTTGCCTAAAATATCTCCGTAATTCTAGTGGAAAGGGAGGTTTTGCCTCAGTTATGAAAATGACCTCGATTTACTTCTTGGTGTAGCTATGGGAGAGGTGGGCCCTGCATGGTATGTATGCCATAGGGTCCAAGCCCTTCAGCTGTGGCCAGGGGTACATGGATCCCCTTCGGTGCTGAAATGGGGATGGAGGGAAAACCCCACGCTCCCATTCAACACTATGATTCTTTCTGTTTTCCATGAGAAAAATGTGGGTGTTCCTCATTTACTTAGACTGCAATAGACACCACCTGCTTTGTTTCATTTGTATGCAGGTGAAAATACAGGACTTAGACTAAGAATTGGAATAAATGATTTAGTTCTTACTAAAGAACTTTAGTTCTTACAATTCTTACTAAATTGGACTCAATTTATTTTTTAATATATTTATCTGATGGGTAAATTGAGCTAGCAGTGATAAAGCATGGAAATGACTGCATTCCCTGTTTTTTTTTGTTTTTGTGGTTTTTTTTGCCAAAGCACATGTCCCATTTCTTTGTCTGACTCTAGTCCCTGTTATCTGCCACGCTGCTTTTGTCTTTCCCTCATTCAGCCACTCTTCCCTTACTCCTGTCTTCTAGTATCTCTCGGGAAGAGTCACATGCCCCTGGATGCTTTACTTCAGTGAAAACCTTTGATTACGGTGTGGTTCATGGGCAACAGTTCAGGTGAAAAGAAGGAGTCCTATCCTGCAAGCTATTCTGGGGGCAGGCCATGAATCTACAGGGGGATCCCAACAGTTCGTCTTTTTACTGGGGCTCGTAGACAAAAGCTTCAGACCTTAAGGATGAGCAGTGGGCTGTCCTGCTGCTTCCAGCAGTCAGAGAGCCAAGAACAAAAGATGCTCACCAGGCCACCTCGGTACCCAGCTGGAGCCGCTGGGTGTCTGACACACGCTTCTCCCCTGAGCATACACTCACCGCCCCCCTGCCCAGCTCCCTGCACCCACACCCAGCATGGAGTTCTCTCTTCTGCGTTACACATCGTCCAAAAGGAGGGCCCCTCTCTGAGACTGTATCACTTCATTTTACACCCTAAACAATTAGACAAGATTTCCCAAAATGTAAGAGCAGTCAGCAGACTCTATCCAAAGGATCGGCTCTGAGAGGAGAGAAAAGGAGGGAGCGGGCAGAGGAGTCGGGGACGAAGGCAGAGGCTCCAGAGTCTTTGTTTCTCTCCCATCTGGCTGGAAGCCAGAGGCAAAGATCGAAGAGACCTATCCTTTGTCCACTGATCTGACAGTCATCCCAGTTCCCAGTCCGCAAAATCAAAGTGAAACGCAGTCACACATTCATGTCCATAGCTCACAAGGTTACTGAGAAACCTAAGTCTTCCTGTGCCTGGTGGAAGCAGCATTTCTATGCAGCATTTCTGTTTTCAAGGTCACAATAAAATTAGGAATTCCACTTTCTCACTGTTAGCCTGTCATTGTTAGCACTCTCCTAGTCCTCCAAGGGACCAAAAGCTTGTGCTCTGTGGCTTTAAGGGAAGAGAGAATCCTTCTCAGGCTCTCTCTATCAAGTCTGGTTAGGTTTTAGCATGTAATGTTCCAGGCCATAAATAATTCAAAAGGCATGAAGAAGATTTTCTTCATTCTACATCTATCCCTGCACACAACACCCTCCCCCTTTCCTTTCTGGCTTATAACAAATGCTAATTTAATCAACTGGCAGTAAATTGTACTGGTTGCTGACTCATGCCAGACACATCCCCTATGGACTTCACGGAGGTTTGCCATCTCATTTGGAAATGAACAATAAAGAGGTGCAGTCCTGAGCTGCCCACCTTTCTTCTTTTGTCCTCCTTTGTTTCCTCCTATCCCTCCCCCCTCCCCCAAAGAGGATTCTTCACAGTGTATCCGTGATGTACATACAGGGAATTCACATCTCAGCCACGCTGCCTGCAAGGGTCTGCGCTCCCTGCAAGTTGCACAGCCACCTGACCCTGATGACGGGGATGGGGATGTCCCCAGTGCTCCTGAAGGCTGTTCTCTAGATAAAGCATGTGGCAGGGGAAGGGAAGGCGGTGGGGGGGGGGGGGGGGCTGAGAAGAAGGGGGGGAAGGGGAGTGAGGCAGAGCCAGCCCTCGTTATCCAAGCTGTGAAAGCATGTGTGTCAGAGAGGCTCCTTGATAAAACCATGCACGGGGATGGAAGCTGATTAAAGAGATGGAGAAACAGCTCCCATCAGTGGGCCCTTTTTACCTCTCCAAGCCAGCAGAGTGGGGAATCCTTCCCCTGCGGACAGCTGTAATGGAGGGTGGAGGGGAGGAATTTCCCTGGAGACAAGCCAGGAGCAGCAGGTAAAGGGGCTGGGGCTGGAGAGGATGGGACAGAAAGAGATGCTTCTAAAAAAAAGGACCAAGAGATGGGAAAATATTTATGGGAAGCCTAGGGTCTATTTCCTTTTCCTTTTGCTCTTTTATTTTAGCTATAAATGTTTATAAAAGCTTATAAAGAAGCATTCTCCGTCTCTACCCCAGAGGGATTCCTTTAAAACCCTCCCCATCATGATTATCCAAGTATGTGCTGCGCACCAATATATAAGGAGGAAATGGAAGCTCACTTACCCTCTTGTCTTCAGATGCCTCGTAAAGCGCTTACAGTGTTCCAAGCACCAGCATGCACTATTTTGTCTGCTTTCTCCTCCTGACCACCCTGAAAAGTACACAGCTGGTAGCATTAGGTCCCTTCTACAGACAGGCAAGTCTCCATGCAAGGGCTGATAGGTGGAACAGTCCTAGCTGACACTATTTCCACTAGACAGCCTGCTACCTGGGGGTTTGCACACAGTAGGTCTTACTGCTTAGATGTTAGGCTTATCGTTTACTAAGCAAATGGGATAACAGCACAGCATCAGAACTTCTGGAAGGGTCTGCTCCCCTGGTCATCAAACCCCACCCCCAGTGTTGACCATTTGTGCTTTTGGTCTTGAACTACAGAAGAGCTGTTTTTTGTTTAATTAGTACCCATCCACCTCACTGGCTCCTAAAGTCCTCCTGGCCAGGTGTGTGGAGTTTTTGTGTCCCTCACAAGGTGAAGAAGCAGGCCTGAGTCACAGAGAGCAAATGCAAATTTTCTGGCTGGTGGCAAGCACACCTGAAGGCTTTTCAAGTGCGGAACCCTGCCAGGGTCACCCTGATTTTCAAATCGCCCCACTGAGGTTGATTTCTCCTTCCTCCAGTTTGGTCCTTCCTCCAGTTTGGCAGCTCCACTCCTTCGGGCTCTGTTTTGGATGTACGTGCATGTGTGTGCACGTACACACATATATGTCTTAGACTGACTGCATTGTTTCATGCCCCTCTTTGAGGGTTTTTTTCTAAAAGGCTTCCTGCTGCCAAATAGGACATACACAATGGCAAAAGCACTTTTGCCTTAGAATGAACAATCAACTTCCTGTAGGAAACTCAGAAAGGGGAGCAAACAGGGGGCCCTCTTCTCCCCCAGCACTGTCTGTCCCGGCACAATATTCCACCCTTCTCTCTTCTAATTCACGGCTCTACGACTTTGGGGTCACTGGGGAGCCAGGAAAGGATCAACCTGCACTGGGGGAGGCTTCTGCGCCCAGCACACGGCACGCTGAAGCACACACTTCACTGGCTAAGAATGGAAGGCGTGGTTCACTTTGTCCTTATTTGACCAGAAAGCTCCACATGGAATCCTCCTCAGTGCCTCCCTGTGACTCCCTGGGGGGGTCGTAAATAAGCGCGAGGCCTGGTATGGCTTCTTGGCTAAACGTTTGCACAGTAACTCAAATGAGGCAGCAGACATGAGTCAGAAGGGAGAAATAAGCTCAAGAAGGGGGGCGTGGGGAGCTTCAGCTTCTCCAGCCGACAAGATGGTACTTTACCCATTTACCCAGAGACGCTCGCCAAGTCTCCAGGGACAGACTGCAAGTCCTCCCCCACCCCCACATTGCACCACCTGCTAGAGCCATTTGCAAAGCAGCTGGTAAGAGCAGCTAAGTGAGCGAGCCACACGTCCATACTGCATGCGCGAGGCCAGCCAGGCCCTTGCGCGTCGCTGAGAGGGGCAATAAAAAGATATTAAATATTTTATCTATTTTGAACACTCACAATTCAAGCCAGGGCTATATACAAAGTGAGGACATAAAGTTCGGGGATAACACTGGTTCTGCGAGATTAGGTGCAGTGAAAATATGAAAAGATAATAGTTATTTAATTCCAGTGGTCATGGTTATGTGTGCAGTGATCGGTGGATCCCCAGATTCATCCTTGCCTCCCAGAGACAGGGCACAGGTTATTAAACCTCCCTGGTATGCTTCATTTTCTCTACTGGGGATGAGGAAAGGGAGGGCTTCTTCCAGCTGCTACGTGCCACCCTCTAAGGGTCTGAAATAAAAGTGTATACTGAATGGATGAACGGATTACTTCTTTTATTCATTCATAATAAAACTCAGGGCTGCCTCGAAGCTGTGCTTTTCCATTTTAAGTCTGTTTCTCTCTCTCCCTCTGCTCTTTCTTGACAGTTGTATCAGCCTGCTCGTGTGGCCATAACGAAGTACCGAACACTGGGAAGCCTAAACAGAAACTTATTTTCTCACAGTTCTGGAGGCCGAAAGTCCTAGATGAAGGTGTTCACGTGGTCTTTCCTCAGTGTGTGTCTGTGTCCTAATCTCCTCTTTCTATACAGACACCAGTCACAGTGGATTAGGGCTCACCCATATGACCCTTATTTACTCTTATCATTGTACATTATTTACTCTTTTAAAGGCCCTATTTCCAAACGCTGTAACATGCCGAGGTCCTGAGGGTTAGAGCTTCAACATGTGAATTTGGGGAGGACACCATTCAGCCCATAAAAACAATTAGGATTTTTTTGTGTCGCAGGACCAAATATGTGAGTCTCTGCGTGCATAAACGTTTCGGTAAACACATGTCCTGCCTTTGACACAGGAAGACTCAGGCTCTGCCCCTGCTGTGTCCACTTCCCCGCAGGCACCACCACTCCTTCCAGCCCACCCACCCACCCAGGTGAAGACAAAATAATTCCACAGCCTCTCTGTAATAACAGAAAGGAAGGGGTTCTTTTTTTTTTTTTTTTTTTAAGTGTTTTCAGCCATTCTCTAACGTGGCTTAATTTGGCTGTGTTGCATCTTCGTTTCTGTGCGAGGGCTTTCTCCAGCTGTGGCAAGCAGGGGCCACTCTTCATCGCGGTGCGTGGGCCTCTCACTATCGTGGCCTCTCTTGTTGCGGAGCACAGGCTCCAGACGCGCAGGCTCAGTAATTGTGGCTCACGGGCCCAGTTGCTCCGCGGCATGTGGGATCTTCCCGGACCAGGGCTCGAACCCGTGTCCCCTGCATTAGCAGGCAGATTCTCAACCACTGCGCCACCAGGGAAGCCCAGGAAGGGGTTCTTTATGTATTAATCTTTTAGTCAATTGTTCCACTGCAGAAGGAGGAAGGACAGCAAGAATAATTACGGTGGGATGCGGGGGGGGGAGGGGGCCTATCAGTGCTTTGCCTTTTATTTCTCCACTCCTGCCAAGGGACTCCCTCATTTTGGTCCCTTTGAGTGAAGGCAGCTTCTGCCTGGCTGCCTCTTTATCAACAATAAAAACAAGCAATCTATTTTGGTCACAGAATGAGGTTCCGTTTGTTTTGAACATAAACTGGGATTCAGCATTTGACCAACCTAAGTTACAGGAAAACTCCAAGTGGCAGGTTTATACCTGACTCTCTCCATTTTGTGTTTTTCCTCCACCAGGGTACCTCCAATTCCCATCAAGTGGCCGTGTCACATTACCGAGCCAAAAGTCACTGAAGGAGCCTCATTTCCTACTGTCCAAGGCCGAAGTCTGTACCATTTGAAATCTATCCCTGCTAGGGAAGCCCCAAACATGCACCCAGCCCATTTCAAGACAAGGATGCTGAGACCTTTCAAACAGTGAATTTTGGCCTCATTAACTACAGAATAGTTAAATGGATGAGAGTCAACAAAGGACACTCCTGTGAAATTTTTTAATGCTTCAAAAACTGCCATTTAAAGTTGTTTGGGCCTTAAACCCATGTTTTGTGTGTGTGTTTTGTTTTTTGAGATCCTCCTCTGAGCCTGCATGCTGGAGACATGACAAATTTGGTATTTCAATCCATACGCCCATTTGAGTTCTAGGAATGCACACTGGTTAGGTTTTAAAGTCATCTTGTAGTAAATTAAGTCAGAGCTAGATATTGATGCCGATATGTACTCAAACAGACAAGGAAAATTAATTGTAAGAAAGGGGGAGGAAAATGTCTCCCATTTATCTTCTTCCTATCTCATAATTTGAACCTATATTTCTAGAGATTTAAAAATATGGTAAGAAGAAAGTCTTAAGTGACCAAGATTCCAAGCCCAAGAGTCTAACCCCAGTGAATTAATACTGTTTGTTTATCCACTGCGTACAGGGCACAGAGCTGTGTACTGAGCGATAGTTAGATATGTACACCACTGTCTTCCACGATCATGGAATCAGAGTAAGGAGACAATGAAATATAAAACCAAAATTCACAATGGAAAGCAGGAAAAATGGTCAGTTCCAACTAAGTGTGACAGATACTCAGTGCTATTAGGGTTTGGAAGCAAGAATGATCACCCCATGAAGGGGTCTCAGAGGAGGTGATATTTGAACCCAGGTTAGCAGCCTGGACCTGCTCCTGCTTTTAGTGAGTATGGGCTCACTGAAGGCTTTCGAGCAGGAGAATGAAATATGACAAAATTGGTATTGGAGGAGAGTACCCTGGCACAGGGCATGTGATGCGCTGGAACAGGTAAGAAGCAAGGCTGGACGACCAGCTTGCAAACTGTAGCGGTGGCCCAGACACCAGGAGACTCACACCTGAGCTGAGGGTTGGCAGTGGGGAGAAGAGGAAGAGATTGATGTCTGTGAAGAAGAAGTAGAGCCTCGAGTCCTACTGACTATGAGAGACAGGGTACAGGGTCCTGACCCCTGACCAGCTCACCAAGGAAGACAACTGTCCAGAGAGAAGGTCTAGGTCCTGGCCAGGCAGCTCTCCCAGACTCCCTCCCTTTTCCCATCCGCTAGAAACAGCAAAACCATCCACCTCACCAGGCTCTCCAGTGGGAGTCTTAGGTCATCCCAAGAATGTAGCCTTGTCCTCTGAACAGACAGGAAGAATGTTCAGGGCACAGGGATTAATTACGTAAGGTCTGTTGTCAAACAAGAAGTCCCAGAGCTCCCTCTGGCTTCAACCCCAAACCCAGTCCTCCATCCGAATTGTCCTGAAATGAACATAGTCTGGCTATGACCTTAGACGATTCAGACGTCAGATCACATACCTCTGTCCTTTTTTTGATTTTGTAGTGACTTTTTGTTGGCTCTGTAAGCATCTAGTGTCTTCTTTCCCTGTCTCCAACAGCCCTTATTTCTATGTGAGTCTCACACATGATCCCGGGGGTCACAGGGTCTGGATTCAGCTCGTCAGGGCCCTCCATCCACCTGTCCTTGTCGGAATACTTAAGCTCCTGGTTCGAATGTCCCCTGAAGTCAGACACCTCTAAACTAAAATTTCCTTTATATGAAATAACTTTATTGTTTGAGCTCTGTATTCTGCTCCTTGCTCTTAAAACGTCCCTGACACAGGCTCCTTGTTGAATGGTGTCATTGCAGAAAGGGCTCTGGGAAGGAAGGGCTCCGT